ATGATGTCCACTAGGTGGCACCAGCTCCCACTTAATATGGTATGCTGTATTCCACCAGAAATTTGGAAGTCATATGAAGAGGCAGAAATAGAACTGCAGTGGTAACAAGACAGTGTGCATATATAGACATAAATATATGTGACCCACAAACTAAGCATTTGATCCATAATAATTACCAAAAGCATATCTAAAACAACTACAAGTCAAACGTGTTCTGGTTTGATTCCCAGACTGGAGTAGATTTCTCTGCAGAGAGACTTTGAGAAGCCCTCCTGTTTAGTATTGGGGTGTGGTGGCGTGATGCTTGGTCAGGTTTGACTAACAACTGGGGCTTTTGTTTCCCAGAAATGTGTTCCTCCAACTTTGTTTTGCCGAGCAGGGTGTGACTTGGAGAAGGTCCTGTGGAAGGCTAGAGATTTTTGTGTGCTATTGGAGGAAACTTGCAAGGATGGACAGAGAAACAGACAGCTGACAGAGAGACAGAAACTTGGTTCGAAGTGCAGAAAAGTTCAGATAGGGAGGGGTTTAGCAAGTTTTTTATGTGGTAAGGAAAAGCAATAATGTTTTTGCTATTAGATAGGCTTTTCTGACATCTGAGAAAATAATCTTAAGATAGAGCAGGAACAGAACGGGCTGGACATTTCAATACTTTTTTTTTTACTTTTCTTTCTTGTCATCCATTTCTATTATCCCTAAATCTTCAAATAAAATCTTGTTTAGCCCAGCCAGCATGGTTCAGTGGTTGAGCATCGACCTATGAACCAGGAGGTCACGGTTTGATTCCCAGTCAGGGCACATGCCAAGGTTGTGGGCTAGATCCCCACTGTGGGGCATACAGAAGGCAGCCAATCAATGATTCTCTCTCATCATTGATGTTTTTCTCTCTCTTTCCCTCTCCCTTTTTCTCTAAAATCAATAAAAAAAAATTTTTTTAAATCTTGTTTAAAATATATTCTATTTTAGGGAGTTACAGGAGAAGTTTGTGTCCATCTTTGGGCTGGATTATTACACCAATTGGAACCATATTACAGAAGTAAGGTGATGAAGTGTGTGAAATGTGAGAATATTCTATGGGAATCCTCGTTAATACTTAGAAAAATCAGATAAAAGCCTGGAAATCCTACAATTTCACAGGATGGAAGACTTTGTCATTTGGTATTAAAGGACAGGGTAGTTCCAGAAGACTGGCCATGTTAATACACTAGTCCAGAGAAGGTAGGGGCTGCAGGTGGATCCAGAACAGGGAGTAGTTGACAGACAAAGCATACCGTCAAAAGTGAAGCTGGGAAGGAACAAACATGAAGCAGAATTAAGTTGGTTAAGAGGAGAAATTGAAAAGAACAATTACTTCTGAGCTTTCTGTTTAGAAAGAAAATAACGGCCAGTGGCAAGCCCATTCCTTCAGCTTCCTACCCCCCACCCCAACCTATCCTTACTTCCTTGCTATCCCAGAGGAAAGGGAATTCTTTGTCTTATATGTGCTAACTTTGCTCTTGTCTGCACACCATCCGTTATCTATTCCCTCCCATACATGTTCCATTCTTTCATTACTGGTTCTATTCTCATGAAATATATATATAAAAGTTGAAGTTGCTACCTTTTAAAACAAAACAAAACTCTCGTCATTTTGCATCTTGTAATTACTGTCCTTTTCTTTTTTCCCTTCGCAACCAAGCTTCTAGAAAGAGCAGTCTCCCTGGCTACACTTCCTCTCTTCTCTTCCTATTCCCTCCCTGCACTCTGGCCATTTTGCCAATACCCAACTGCAAACGGCCCCCCTGAGGTTACCAGTGAACTTCTCCATGTTAAACTCGTGTGATTTTCAGCCTGAACCTAAGCTCTCTGCAGCATGTGCAAGTGTTAATGTTTATTCAGTAATTATTGAGCACCCACTTTGTGTTTGACACCGTTCTAGGCACTTCTATGTGTTTGACACTGTCCTAAGGCACTGTGACGTATAGATAGAGGAGGTCCTGCCTCAAAGGTGTAGCCAGGTTATGACATCAGAGTAAACTGGCCTGGGGCCAGAGCAAGGGGGATGCTGAGCCCCACAGCTTTGGTGGGGCAGCAAGCACTTACAAAAATGCCAACCTTTGATTAGCTTCCCTGCTTGCACTGCAATTGAATTTCAGACCGCTTGCTCAAATGTTACTTACATCATATTATTAACAACTCTGCTACCAACATACTATCTCACAATTGCTGAAAATGTAATACTTTAGGAGGAAATGACCACTCCTTACGCTCCTAAATGCCACCTCTCCCCCAATTAAGCTTTCCTTATATCCTCTTGTAGCTTTTTTGTAGTGGGGTGGAGACTCACAGTGTACTTTCAAGGAACCTCTCACAGATCCCTTGCCCCCTTCCACCATGTAAAGACATAGTGAAAATGCATCTTCTGTGAGCCAGACAGTAGATCCTCACTAGATACCCAATCTGTCAGAGCCATAGTCTGACTTTCCAGCCTCCATAACTGTGAAAAATAAATGTTTGTTGTGTATAAGCCACTGAGCTTATGGCATTTTTTAAATAGCAGCCTGAATGGACTAAGACAAGCACCCATGGCACCAGGTGGGGATGGAGAACTGCTTTACATAGTGTGATCAAAGAAGGCCTCTTTGGTAAGATGACATTTAAGCTGAGACTTACAAAGAGTTAATTGTTAGAAAACTTGGGGGAAAGCCTGCCAGGCAGAAGGAAGAGTAAGTGCAAAGGCACTGAAGGACTTGGGATGTTGGAGTCATGAAAGGACATCCGTGTGCCTAAAACTTTGTAATGTGACAGTGTTTAGAAAGGCCACCCAGGAGAAAGGAACTGACAACAAAAGGGGCAGGATCCAGAGCACAAGGACAGGGGTTTGCTTTGATCAGAGCAGAAACACATAGCGTTTAAAGCTCTTTTCCCTTAGTTTTAACAATTTCACTCTCTCTCTTAATTCTCCCCCTTCCTCTCTCTTCCTCTTCAGTCTGCTTTTTAGAACCCCTCCCCTTAATTTTGGTTGTCAGCAGGGTTCTGTCCACAACTGCCTTCTAATTATCCTTTCCACATTTTCTTATCCCTAACCACCAGGCTGGACCACTCTTGGGCTTCACATTCTCATATCCAACTGTAGATATGCATTTAGTCTCCCAGATTAAATCTCCAGCCCAGGCCTGGCCTCTGACTTTCTGATTTAACTACTTATTTGACACTCCACTTAGATTGAAGTATCTTGACTTTGACATATCTGAACTTGGGATTTTTTAACTCCACCTCCCCCAACATACAAAACACAACATGAATGGAAGCAGGGCAGGCAGAGGGGTTTGCTTATTGGTGGCCCAAGTTCCACCTCTGTTCATAATTTCAGCCCCATTCTTTGATACAGACTTGAAGGTTTTTTTACATTTTATTTTTTAAAATTGATTTTAGGGAGGGAGGGAGCAAGAGAGAGAGAGAGAGAGAGAGAGAGAGAGAGAGAGAGAGAGGGAATGAATCATCAACATAAGAGAGAAACACCAATGGGTTGACTCCCACATGTGCAGCCTTTTGGTGTATGGAAGAGCGCTTCAACCAACTGAGCCACACCAGCCAGTACTGAAGTTTTTAATTTTTAAAAAAATTTAAATTTTTTATTGTTGAAAGTATTACATATGTCTCCTTTTCCCCCAATTGACCTCTCCCCAGCCACTCCCACCACCCCCGCACATCTGTCAGAATGGCTATCATCAACAAATCAACAAACGTGTACTGGTGAGGATGTAGAATAAAAGGAACCCTCATGCACTGCTGGTGGGAATGCAGACTGGTTCAGCCACTGTGGAAAGCAGTATGGCGTTTCCTCAAAAAATTAAAAATGGAACTCCCATTTGACCCAGTAATCCCACTTCTAGGAATATATCCCAAGATACCAGAAACACCAATCAGAAAGGATTTATACACCCCTATGTTCATAGCAGCACAATTTACAATAGCTAAGATTTGGAAACAGCTCAAGTGCCTGTCAGCAGATGAGTGGATTAAAATACCGTGGTACATCTACACAATGGAATACTACATGGTTGTAAAAAGAAAGAACTCTTACTATTCGAAACAGCATGGATGGACCTAGAGAGCATTGTGCTAAGTGAAATAAGCTAGTCAGAGAAGGATAAGTATATGTGATTTCATTTATTTGTGGAATATAATGAACAGCCTAAACTGATGAACGAAAATAGATCCAGAGACATAGAAACATTGAACAGACCATCAAATCTCAGAGGGAAGGCAGCTGAGGGCGAGGGGGGATAAGAGAGCAACCAAAGGACTTGTATGCATGCATATAAGCATAACAATGGACACAGACAGTAGGGAGGTAAGGGCATGACTTTTTTTTATGTAAAATAGCATTGTAAACATTGGAGCTTACCAATACTTTCAGCACTTCTTTTGACCTAGACATTTGAGAGGACTTTGTCCACATCCTTGAAGTTAGGCATGGCTATGGCACTTACTTTAGCCTCTGAAATATGAGTGAAAGTTACACATTGCTTCTGGATGGAAATATCTAAGAGAAGGCACACAATTCTCCTTCTTACATTTTTTTTTTTTTCCTTTTACTTTCTGTATTCCAGGTTATCATTTGTTGAGGTGTAGATGTCTAAGATAAAAGAGCCTGGAATGCTGAGCCATCATGTGGAAGAAAACTGCCCAGAGAGTCATTAGACCTACAGCAAACCCTGAGCAAGGAAGAAAATAGAAGAAAAAGTGCTGGAAGCCGGTCCATCCTTGCTGCTTGACACAGTCGCTGCAGGGAAGAAACATCTGCACAACATATGTTTCAAGGGACCTGGCGTATATAGCATACTGTTCTTAATATGTTTGTTCCCCTTCTTGGCGCTATGTGTTTTAACCAAGGTCACCTCTCCGAGAAAGGTTGTTTCCCCAGGTAGGGTTTTTCCCTGAAGTTAGGGAGGGAATAAAACCCCTTAACTAAGTGCCAGGCGGGTAGTTAATCACTTTAACTATGAACAATCACGCTTAAGCTACATAATCTTTACTCCCTGGAATGGAGATAAGAAACGCCCTAACCTTTGGAATAGAAATTGATAGGATTAAAATCAACTGGTATAAATACAGATGTAACAAGACAATAAAACACAGAACTTGGAACCTTCTCCAGAACAGGGTGTCTTGGGAACTCACCTGGCTGGAGAGACTTCTGGAAGAGACTGCAACCACACATCAAGGCTTGATCCTTGAGCTGACCTCTTCCTATTTTTCCTACTACGGAAAGCCCTGGATCTGCTCATTAGGTGAGTGCACGATTGCCCATTTGCACTATTTTAAAGAGAAACAGCAGCCGCAGCGGCCCCAGAGAAGAACGAGAGGGCGAGCGAGCGTGGTGCTCCCGGGCGGCCTGGCCCCCTCTCCTCATCATCGCCAGCCCTCTGCCGCCTTTCTCCGCTTCCACCTTTTCTCCTCTCCCTCCAAGTGGAGGCCCCCTCTGGGGCGGGCAGGACCGGGAGTGAATTCCCCTAACTCCTTCACCCTCTCCCTGTACCTGGCCCCATTGTGAGGAGAAGGCCCGGCCCTGTCCGGCCCGAGTCCTGTGTGAGGAGCACCCGGGCCAGCCCACAGTTGTCTTGGGCCTGGTCCAGCTCGGCTGGTGTGTGAGGACTGGAGCCCCGGCCAGGCGCCGCCACCGCCACCGCCACAATGGCCAGCTCCCAGAAGGCCCTGATGCTGGAGCTCAAGTCCCTGCAGGAGGAGCCGGTGGAGGGTTCCCGGATCACCCTGGTGGATGAGTCTGACCTCTACAACTGGGAGGTTGCCATCTTCGGACCCCCCAACACCCTCTACGAAGGCGGCTACTTCAAGGCGCATATTAAATTTCCTATTGACTACCCATATTCACCACCTACCTTCAGATTCTTGACCAAAATGTGGCACCCCAACATTTATGAGAGTGGGCATGTATGCATTTCAATTCTTCATCCACCCGTAGATGCCCCACAGAGTGGTCAACTGAACTCCGAAAGGTGGAATCCTACTCAGAATGTCAGGACTATCCTGTTAAGTGTCATCTCATTGCTTAATGAGCCCAACATCTTCTCCGCAGCCAATGCGGATGCTTCAGTTATGTTCAGGAAATGGAGGGACAGTAAAGGAAAAGACAAAGAATATGCTGAAATCATTAGAAAACAGGTTTCAGCCACTAAAGCCGAAGCAGAAAAGGATGGAGTGAAAGTACCCACGACCCTGGCAGAATATTGCATCAAAACGAAAGTGCCTTCCAATGACAACAGCTCAGATTGGCTTTATGACGACTTGTACGACCTTGACATTGAGGATGAAGAGGAGGAGGAGGAGGAAGATGCTGACTGTGATGACCATGATGATTCTGGGAATGAGGAGTCGTGACCTGCTCCTTCGAAGCCCCTGTACTGCCCTGCCATCTCAGGCCAAGGGAGAGGAGCAAGTGGGGACCTAGCAGTGGCCCCTCAGCAAAACCCCATCACGGGGGGTGGGGAAAACAAACATGGCTCCTGCTGACTCCCCTTGTGGATCTCAGTTGGCTCCTTTTTATGGACCTCTTAATGGAGGGAAGGTAATTGTGAACGAAAGGGGCCACATGCTGACCTGACAAGCTGAGGGGAGGCCTGCATGGCAGTCTGAGAGACCTAAAGTAACCACAAAGGATGGTCTGAAATTAAACTTTAACTCAGAGCAGTTATGGTGGGCAGTTACGTCCTAGACCGGTATCTTCACTGACAAGGTCATCCTTTACCTTAACTGAGCCTATCTGTCTTTTTGCATCTATGATAACACACCCTTGAAATGTCTGGGTAACTTGTAACTTCCCTTTTTCTGGAGCCCCTGGGGCACAACCAAATGTGCTGGGTGCCAGGACAGATACCACAAACCCCTTCATTATCATGTTAATTGATCCTGCACCCACCTAAGTGTGTGTCCATGATTTTACTTTTATCCAATCCCAGGGGTTTCCCTGCTTTGCTTTATCCCTCCTCAATCTATCACCAATGAATTTCATGTAACCCACTTATGTCCCTCCTTTGATTGAAAATGTATAAATACAAATGTAACCCCGCCATTCTCCGGAGCATTATCTCAATTCCTTGAGGTTCTGTTTCCTGGCATATGTTGACAGTTTGGCTCAAATAAACTCACAAAAATTCTAAAAAAAATAAAATAAAATAAAAAATAAAAAAACAGAACTTGGCTGGAGATTGTGTCTAGAACCTGGCTAGAGAACCTGGCTAGGCTGCTGATCAACTGAACGCCGTCTTCGTGTCATTCCTTCTTCGCCGACTCCGTCCACACTTTTGGGAACCCCTGGACCTGCTGGGGTTGGACCCCAACAATTGGCGCCCAAACAGGGTCCCCCTAGGTAAGCCCTCCCGCACTCGGGATGGATAGGACTGCACCGTAGGGCGCTGCAGACCCCCTTATAGAGGATAAGTAGGGTAAGAGGGTGGATAGTACAGAACTTGGATTGAGGAGATGGGTCATACTGAGTCTAAAGAGAAAATACTGTATTAATCTTTTAACACATATGCTTACTAGCAGAGGAGTTAAGGTTACTCCCAGACAGAAAGTTTTTTTTTTTTAAATATATTTTATTTATTTTTTACAGAGAGAAAGGGAGAGAGAGAGTTAGAAACATCGATGAGAGAGAAACATCGATCAGCTGCCTCCTGCACATCTCCCACTGGGGATATGCCCGCAACCCAGGTACATGCCCTTGACCGGAATCGAACCTGGGACCCTTCAGTCCGCAGGCCGACGCTCTATCCACTGAGCCAAACCGGTTTCGGCGACAGAAAGTTTTATACAAGAAGTATGTCCATGGCTTTCTGAAGAGGAACTGTTAATTTAGAAACTTCGCCTAAAGTAGGAGAGCAATTAAAGAATTATTACAGATACCATAGATCTGAGAAGGTCCCGGCAGATACCCTTTCCCTCTAGAATTTAATTCGTGACACCTTGGCACCAGAGGCAGAAATGGTTGAACTTTCTCAAACTTTAGTCCCTCGGCTCCACCTAGAGGGGACACATCATTATTGTCTCCAGCTCAATCTAAGAGCAATTTAGCTATGCCTACTGATCGGAAGGAGAATAAATATCATAAACATGACCCTTGGTCCTTTCCAGTCAGTAGAGAGGAAAAAAGCCCTCCCATTCAAAACAGGCTCCCTAAATTAGAAAGGAAGCCTAAACCAGGTCCTCTGGCTCCTATGAGCTCCATGTCTAAATTTCAAAGGGCGGTAAGAGAAGCTGAAGCTAATGGAGATCTTGAATTCTCACTCTGCTTCCCAGTCATGTATGAGAGTGAGGGGGACGAAAACCCCACCTGGGAGCCTATACCTTACAAAATACAGAATTAAAATTGGCCTGCTCTGAATATGGACCTCTAGCTCCTTACACACAAACCTTGGTAGAAGCCCTGGCCAGTAAATGGATGACTCCTTATGATTGGTCACAGGTTTGTAAATCCTGTCTCTCAGGAGGCGATTACTTATTATGGAAAACTGAATATGATGATCTTGCTAAGAGAGCTGTAGCCACTAGCAAAAATTCCATAGGAGGAATAACCCTAGACATGATATTAGGAGGTGATTTTATCACAGCTCAGGAGCAAATGTATATGCCCAAAGAGGCACTTATTAAAATAACCAGTTCTGCAGTAAATGCCTGGAAATCTCCACCTTGTGCAGTAGGAAAAACAACCACCCTTCAGAGGTTAAACAGAAGGTCGAGGAACCGTATCAGGATTTCCTTTCTGGCCTTGTACAGGCAGTCAAGAGAGTAATCAATAACAAAGAGGCAGCCGATATTCTAATCAAACAACTGGCTTTTGAAAATGCTAATAATACCTATCAGGCTTTATTAAGGCCGATTTGCAGAACAGGAACTATAAATGAATTTATAAAACAGTGTGCCAATGTAAGTCCAGCATTTATACAGGGTGTAGCTATAGCTGTAGCCCTCAAGGGGTAGACATACCCTCAATATGTACAGGGCATAGGACAAGCCAGCAATAATACAGGTAATAAAAGAAATATGAACTGCTACTCTTGTGGCTTATCTGGGCACTTTAGCAGAGAATGCCCAAATAAAAATAATAGGCCAGATGGCAAGCTCCTCGGCAGCCTGGAAATACATCAGGGAATAATATTAATCCTCCAAAAACTGTCCCCGATGTCAGAAAGGATTCCATTGGGCAAAGGAATGTAGATCAAAATACCATAAAAATGGTCAGCCTTTAAATTCTACAAACCGCTCCCAGGGGTTCTATCCCATCACCTCAATTGGGAAACATGAGGGGGCCAGCCCCAGGCCCCTGCAATAATAGGGGCATCAACCCTCAACCCCTCTGCAAATTTCAATCAGTCAATGACCTCTTCAGGGCAACCCCAGGCAGTGCAGGATTGGACCTCCACTCAACCACCCATGCAATACTAACCCCAGACTCGCCAGTAGCAGCCATTCCTACAGGAGTGTCTGGGCCGCTGCCTGAGGGAACTGTAGGTTTAATATTAGGACGGAGCTCCACCTCATTACAGGGGATCTTAGTCATCCCAGGAGTTGTTGATGCAGACTACACAGGAGAAATACAGATTTTACTTTCCCCACCCACCACAACTATACAGATTCAGCCCAACCAGAGAATTGCCCAATTAATCCTGTTACCAATACATAAAATAGGGACAGCTGTTACCCAGGAAGCTAGAGGGGCCGGAGGCTTTGGATCTAGTGATGCAGCATTTTGGATACAAGAAATCCATGCTACTAGACCTACAAAAATTTTACAAATTCAGGGAAAACCAATTGAAGGTCTATTGGATACAGGAGCAGATGTTTCCTGCATAGCAGGGAAGGATTGGCCCTCTTCATGGCCCAGGCACACCACCTCCACTTCCCTAGTAGGACTAGGCAAGGCATCTAATGTAAAAAAGAGTTCTCAGATTTTAACTTGGGCTGATGAAGATCAATATTCAGTGTGGGGAGCCAGCACGGCCATGGCATACTCAGCCCCAGGGCGCCTTATATGCCATGCCAGCTCAGCCCGGTTCAGTGACCCTGAATGGGGAGGGTGAAAGGATTGAGAAAGGACAGACAAGAGAATGAAAGCTGGGTCTTGGTGGGACGCTGCTCCCTGATGAGGAGACAGCGCCAGCGCCCACAAGCCGTGTCTTTATTTTATAGCAGATGCCATGAGGCAAAGTAGGGGCGTGATCAAGTTGTTTACAGCATTCTCGTGAGTTTCAACCTCACTCGACTATATGCACCCGAACTCTATCACACGTGGGGCCACGTGTTCGGACCATAGGTTCAAGCTTACAACCACAGCCGTTGGCTATAATAGTGCTGGGAAGGCCCTGCCCTCCAGCTGGGACTTGCACATGGCAATGAGAGGACCCTGTCCTTTCATTGGTCCAAGGCTTGAACCTGGCCAAAACACTGTAGTCGTGCCCCACAATTCAGGAACATTCTGTCCCTATGTAATTACAACTATTCCCTTTACATTATGGGGAAGAGGTATCTTGTCTCAAATGGGACTTCTATTATATAGCCCTAGTGGTGTTTGATTTACTCCTGTTACAAAAAATTACAAGAAAGTGAGTTTAAATATTCCTCTCCTCATTATGTTCTACAACATACTCTATTTGTAATATACTAAATGTAGATTCTGAAGAAATTCCCCAATGTACAGACATTGGAACCCTGATCTAACTAAACCTAAAGCCCTCATCAAATGGAGAGACTTGCTTACAGGAACCTGGAAGGGACCTGATGTACTTTTAACCTAGGGGAGAGGATATGCTTGTATATTTCCACAGGACGCAGACTCACCTGTGTGGATTCCAGACCATCTAGTCCGGCCTTAAGTCTCACCGCCCTCCATCTCCGCCTCACCCTAGCACACCTGACCAGTGCCCGTCTGCAGCAGATGTGCAGCCCTGAGCTGGAACAACCTGTCCATTGGGAGGATCACATGTGCCTCCTTTTTGTCCGTCCATATGTCCCAGATCTGCCCCACATAATCTGACTACTTGTTTGCTGGTTCTTTGGCCTTTCTCCTTCTCTCCTGAACACAGCCTTTTCTAGAATCTCCCTACCCTACTGTTCCAGGAAGGGCACCTCCCTTTTCTGCCGTGACTAGCGGGTGTCTGGTATATGCCCCATATGTGGAGTTGTCTTGTGCCAAGAGCCTGACATCCTGGGCTGAGAAAGCCCTGTCCCAGAACTACATGCTGACAGGTCGTTCCTCCCTTGTCCTGTATTGGCCCCTCTTGCCCTTGTGTCAAGAGGGACCCTCTTCTCACAGTCCATTTGCAGGCGAGGGGAGCCCAAGGCAGGTGCTGGGCGTGGAGGCCATGGGGGCATAGGCTATCAAGGAGACAGAACTGAACCTCTTGCAGGGGGGCGCTGCCCCTCCCTCATTTGCACATCTCACATCACCCTTCTTGGCCCCGGAGGATGTCTGGTTAGCCAGAGATGGGTAAGATTCCTCAGGGAAGGAACAACCTAAGACAGGCACAGTCACAGAGGGGCCATCAGGAGACAATTTGGGGGTCAACAGAGGTGGGGCACAGACCCTCACCCCCCCAACTTTGCAGAGACCCAAACCCTCACTCCTTCTGAGGGAGGTCTCCTGCCCCCATGGCTGCTTTGCTTCCCATGCCCAGCTCAGATCGGGACCCAGGTAAAGACAGAGAC